TCAGTGGGAAAAAAGATGATTTGTGCTAATGCTGAGTATTTTTCATCCATTTAGCCGAATAACTAATAAGATAATCGATAGAATAATCAATTCAAGTTAGACTGTCACACTTTGTGAAAAGAAATTGGGTCCAAAAGGATCCTTGTTGTACGTTTCAGGTCCGTCCCCCCTCATCCATCTTTTGAGGAGCCCCGGCACACCTTCGGGGGGGGGGGGCGGACAGCTCCGACCGACCAGACAAGCACATTTTGAGTGTGAGAGTGAAAAAAAAGTGGTCCACCATCTGGAAATAATGAAGAGCAGCAGAGAGCGCGGACCCACCCTCTCCCCTGAGCAGCTGCATGGACATTCAACATAAAAAAGGGGAAAAAAATAATTGGTCTTAGGCATGGCTAGTTGGGGAGGGGGGGGGGGGGACGTCACACGTTATGCTGTAATGCTGACGCTTCTTCAACCATAAAAAGTTGTAATTAGCACCCATTAGACACCCCCACAACCCCACACACATACATTTGAGATTACCACCACACTAGGAGACCTTTAGAACAATACACTGACTGGACAGCAGCGATTTTGTGCACACAAGCCGGTATACAATTGAACGAGATGAAAACAAAACAAATGTTCTATAGACGACGATTTTGATTTTTGTTTGCAATTATTATTATAAAGGCGAATATTTAAAAAATCTCGCTAGCTTGAGGAGAGCACGAGTCTCATTCATCACATGGCAAAAGGGGGTAAAATAAAACTATTTTTATCAGTCAAGTAAAAAGTTATATGAAATCCTGGGGCTTTATATTTGGCGTTACTTTTGAGAGAAAAAAATAGCAAATTGGATTGACCGCTTCGAGGGGGGGGGGCGTCAAAGTAAGCTAGCAGGTCGCGCACGGCACGTGCCAATCCAACCCAATGAAAAATAACAAGCGTTTTTTTCCCCACCTTTGTTTGAAAACAACAAATTAAATGGAATTTAAATGCTGTTCTTACCTGCCCCTCGTTTTGATAAATCCTTCCAGCCGCTTCGGCCCCGGGAGCGCTCACTGACAGACAGACAAAAACACCGCAGCCAGGATGCTCGGCGCGCCTCCTCCCGCTCCTCTTAAAGGGCCAGCAGCACCCATTTCACGCTCCTGCAAAACACATTTCATAGACTGTACAGTCCCTCTAAAAAGTACTGGAACTTCTTTAGGTGGAAAAAGTGGAAGGTCTCGGACCGGCAAATCAACAAACCATAACCCAATAGAGCATGCTTTCCACCTCCTGAAGAAGACACTCAAGGGAGAAATCCCAGAAACAAGTGAACTGCAGTAAAGGCTCGGAAATTATTTTAAGTGAAGTAAACAACAGTCTGGCGAAGTCAATGGGTTACAGGCTAGGTATTTTTTTCGGTCATACTTTGTGAGAACAAGTTTGAACTAAATTAAATTCTGAACTAAATGGAAACAGTCTGAAAAAGAGTTGCTGAGATAAATTTTGCCGGAGTCCAGACATGAGGAAACAAAAGGCAGGATGAATACAGTACACACCTCAATGAGTCGAAAGTGGGCGCTCTGGAGCAGGACAACAGCAGGCCTCAATCGACCTCAGTGGAGTCAGAGGAGAAAACCAATCAGCTTTCCATTCTAAAAAGGAGACCCACTTTTATTTGAACAATAACAACAGCAGGGGGCCTTCCTTCAAAGGCCAATTGGGCTGCGAAGAACCTCAGGATTTAGAGGACAAACCCTTTATGATGATCCTCCTGATCCACAAAGGATTGAGATTTCAATGAAAGGCTCAGTCAGCATCTTAATCTCTGACTAAAAGGAGTTACCGTGACTCCTTGAATTTCTTCAAGAATCTCAATGACGACGATTGCGTCATCCAGATAGGAGAGAATGATTACATGTTTAACATTTAAAATAAAATAATCCAGTTGCCGTGTTTTGACTTCAATCTAGCATGATGGTGGTCCTGGAAAAAACAGCAGAACGGGATCAATTAGGTTAATACAGTTCAGTGTTATCTCCATCACATAAAAACATCAGTTGTTCGGTTTACATAGTCAATGAGGAAGTTGCTATATTTTTCATTCCAAATGCCATTGCTCCCCCCACCCCCAATAAAATGAATTACATTTTACAGAGGAAACCCTGCTGGACGAGCATCAATGAGATGGGCCTGTTTTATCACCTCTTCCACCTGGGATTCTTTATTTTACAAGACTGTTTTCATTACTTAACAGATTATTAACTCTGTATACTTACACTGAAGCCTGTGCAAAACTTTCATTTTGGCGACCCAATAAAGAACTAGCATTATAAATGAACTATAAATGAACCCACATATAAATGCAAGTGCAAAAAGAAAAGCAAATATAACTCGCTCTGTAACAATATACAAGCAATAAAAGTCATTAAGTTGTAGGAAAAGTAATTTAATAGAAGGCAGCAGTAAAAAAAAAAAACAAAAAAAAAACAACCAAAAAAAAAGATAATGTAAATAAATAAAAGTTATCGAAGAGGTGAAACAAAAAACAGTGGGGTCTTGATAAAACAAGAAAAGCACTAATATTGCTACAACAGTGTTAGTTTACAATAGTGCAAGATAATTAGGACAGTAGTCAGAACAGTGTCACCCGTCACGAGTTCATTCAAAAGCATCTTGAGTGGATGCAGGGAGCTGGTCAAAGTCACAGTTTGGACAGATTTGTTGAGGCAGTGCAGTACATTTCATAGCAAGGGGTCCGACTTTGGACATCAATTATCGCAGCAGGAGTCGGACCGGGGACCTGATGCCTTAAGCAAATTTACCTCCGATCGACAGTGCAAATTCAATTCTTGCAATCGGGGTGAAGATGGCAGAATGTCAGTTATTTGGTGGGCGGACAGCAAGAGAAAATTCCTGGGAAGGTTTTAATTGAAAGACGATGCCCACCAGCGGCGCCTTCGCAACGTCTCAACATGGCAGTGAAAACAAAGCAAATGAAGAGAAGAAGGGCTGCCAGGATGCTCGGCGCGCCTCCTCCCGCTCCTCTTAAAGGGCCAGCAGCACCCATTTCACGCTCCTGCAAAACACATTTCATAGACTGTACAGTCCCTCTAAAAAGTACTGGAACTTCTTTAGGTGGAAAAAGTGGAAGGTCTCGGACCGGCAAATCAACAAACCATAACCCAATAGAGCATGCTTTCCACCTCCTGAAGAAGACACTCAAGGGAGAAATCCCAGAAACAAGTGAACTGCAGTAAAGGCTCGGAAATTATTTTAAGTGAAGTAAACAACAGTCTGGCGAAGTCAATCGGTTACAGGATAGGTATTTTTTTCGGTCATACTTTGTGAGAACAAGTTTGAACTAAATTAAATTCTGAACTAAATGGAAACAGTCTGAAAAAGAGTTGCTGAGATAAATTTTGCCGGAGTCCAGACATGAGGAAACAAAAGGCAGGATGAATACAGTACACACCTCAATGAGTCGAAAGTGGGCGCTCTGGAGCAGGACAACAGCAGGCCTCAATCGACCTCAGTGGAGTCAGAGGAGAAAACCAATCAGCTTTCCATTCTAAAAAGGAGACCCACTTTTATTTGAACAATAACAACAGCAGGGGGCCTTCCTTCAAAGGCCAATTGGGCTGCGAAGAACCTCAGGATTTAGAGGACAAACCCTTTATGATGATCCTCCTGATCCACAAAGGATTGAGATTTCAATGAAAGGCTCAGTCAGCATCTTAATCTCTGACTAAAAGGAGTTACCGTGACTCCTTGAATTTCTTCAAGAATCTCAATGACGACGATTGCGTCATCCAGATAGGAGAGAATGATTACATGTTTAACATTTAAAATAAAATAATCCAGTTGCCGTGTTTTGACTTCAATCTAGCATGATGGTGGTCCTGGAAAAAACAGCAGAACGGGATCAATTAGGTTAATACAGTTCAGTGTTATCTCCATCACATAAAAACATCAGTTGTTCGGTTTACATAGTCAATGAGGAAGTTGCTATATTTTTCATTCCAAATGCCATTGCTCCCCCCACCCCCAATAAAATGAATTACATTTTACAGAGGAAACCCTGCTGGACGAGCATCAATGAGATGGGCCTGTTTTATCACCTCTCCCACCTGGGATTCTTTATTTTACAAGACTGTTTTCATTACTTAACAGATTATTAACTCTGTATACTTAGACTGAAGCCTGTGCAAAACTTTCATTTTGGCGACCCAATAAAGAACTAGCATTATAAATGAACTATAAATGAACCCACATATAAATGCAAGTGCAAAAAGAAAAGCAAATATAACTCGCTCTGTAACAATATACAAGCAATAAAAGTCATTAAGTTGTAGGAAAAGTAATTTAATAGAAGGCAGCAGTAAAAAAAAAAAACAAAAAAAAAACAACCAAAAAAAAAGATAATGTAAATAAATAAAAGTTATCGAAGAGGTGAAACAAAAAACAGTGGGGTCTTGATAAAACAAGAAAAGCACTAATATTGCTACAACAGTGTTAGTTTACAATAGTGCAAGATAATTAGGACAGTAGTCAGAACAGTGTCACCCGTCACGAGTTCATTCAAAAGCATCTTGAGTGGATGCAGGGAGCTGGTCAAAGTCACAGTTTGGACAGATTTGTTGAGGCAGTGCAGTACATTTCATAGCAAGGGGTCCGACTTTGGACATCAATTATCGGAGCAGGAGTCGGACCGGGGACCTGATGCCTTAAGCAAATTTACCTCCGATCGACAGTGCAAATTCATTTCTTGCAATCGGGGTGAAGATGGCAGAATGTCAGTTATTTGGTGGGCGGACAGCAAGAGAAAATTCCTGGGAAGGTTTTAATTGAAAGACGATGCCCACCAGCGGCGCCTTCGCAACGTCTCAACATGGCAGTGAAAACAAAGCAAATGAAGAGAAGAAGGGCTGGGGTAGAAGTGAAACTCAACCAGTTTGGAGTCCAAACACTTTTCTTCCATCCAAAGATAAAATCGGTTCTTTTCAGAATTTGAAACGTTTTTGGTACACTTTTTTTTTTGTCCCTGTGCCGGCCCATAATGTGTGCTAACAAGGCTGCAGTCACTCAGGGCCTCTTAAAAAAAAAAAAAAGATGTTTGCAGTGCAGATAACCTTCCAGTATAAACAGCTGAGGTGTGAAAGTGGAGGCGAGGGGAGTGGGGGAGGCTACGAGTGATGTCTGTGTGTGTGGGTGAGTGATGATAATGAGGAGAGGGGCGGGTGATTAAAGCACGAGAGGATGTCAGTGTGTGTTGTAAAATATCGACAATTGCTATTGGGGCAGGGCAGGTGGCAAAGCCGTCAGGTTGGCCTCAGCCCTCGACTCTTCGGAGGCTGGAGCGATTGTAGGAGTTCCTGAAAGACACGAGAGTAGGAAGATCACAGTGTTTAGTTCTGCAAAATGAGCAGACAGGGCATCTGTAAAGCTGAAGCTGAAATTTGTCATGGCGTGTCTTAAAATGCAAAATGCAGGTGAAAGTATGCTAATGGACATAATTAAATTTTACTCCCTTCATGATGAGAAAGGGATCTTTATTTGAGGGTGTCAATTTTCATCTGTTAGACACTCAATGCTGAGGAGATGCAGTATCCTTATTGTGCAAGTAAAAGGCCTCCTGCCTAGTAAATTCCTACCCTGAAAGGACATGTGGTTCTCACTGCGGTTGTGTAAATAGGCGAAAATTGTGCCATGATTGTAAAGAACAAGAGCAACTGCCACGAGGAAGAGCGAATTGATGCAGGCAGTGAAAGCGGCCCTGCCCGAATAGTAATCTTGCAGTTAGCCGCCAGATGGGCATCAACTTTCAAACCGCGACGAGGATAGAGTGCCATAACATCACGTCATCAGTCAGTGCTGCCTGCAGTAACTTGTATGAGATATGAACATTTTGCGCTTGATAGCAGAATATAAACTGCATCATGGTTTCAAAGGCACTGTTCAGTGTCGCTTTCTTCTCAGTGAAAAAAAACAAGCTGATAAAAGCGGAAGGAAGAAATAAAAAAAAAAAAAGGGATGGCGGTACTTTCCAAAAGTCAAAGAGAAGCTACAACAACTCCTGGGACTTTTTGGAACATTGTTGAATCATGTGAGTTTTAATTTCCTGGAGTTTAGACAGTCGGCCTCACCTTCTCAAGTGTTGATTTGATGGCGTTGGGAAAGCAGCGTGAGCTTATTTTCTGTGTGTGTCAGTGCGGAGGCGTGACATTGTGCATGCGGGTTTCATATCTCATGTTACCGCTGTGTTTGTGTAGCCGGAATCGACAGGGTCCTGTACAGCTGCGGGATCTTGCGGTTGATGAGAGGACCCAGCGCTTCTTTGAGTTTATTGTAGTTCCTCTCCAGCTCTCTGTGGTACTCCCTCTGATCGGGCCCAATCAGAGCCTTGTTCTTTCTCAGGGCATCCTCGCACCTGCATGCATAGGAGAAGAAGAGGCACTGGTGTGTGTGCGCGCCTTTGCAAGGCACATAACACGGGACGCGGAGCACGCCATCACCTCTTTGCAAAGTCTTTAAAGCATAGCCGCAATTTGTTGTGATGGCGAAAAAGTTTGGGGTCATCGGGGATGTCGGTGAGAAAGACCTGAGCCACCTCCAGGGGGCCCTGTGAAAGGAAGGGAGGAGGGGGATGGTTACATATATGCTGAGGAATGTAAACGTCAAGAGCCAGATTTTAAGCCCCACGTGGTAGAAGGGAGGGATTTACATTGCACGGAGATGCAGGCCATTTGACACTTTTACGAATACAACAGAGAGTGATATGCGTTTGGGGGGCGTACCTGGTTGACGGTGGTGCCCACGCAGCCCTGCAGCACCATCTGCAGCATCTTGGAGTCAGCCGGGTCCTGGTTCGTGGCGAAGGCGAGCTCCTGCGTCTTCTTCTGCATGTCCTCAATTGCAACCTCGATGGGCACCAGGATGATCTGGAAAAGCAAAATATGTATTGATTATATGATTATGATTGTAGTGAATAAAACTGATCTAAGTTCCCATACAATCAAAAGCACAGGTTGTATTTTCCAAATAGCTGTCAATCAAAAGGCAAAACTACAGCACAAGACGGACTTTTGTTTCCCAAACGTGAACAACAAATGTGCGGCTGATCGGGTTTGGCAGCCAAGTAAAATATTGAAGGAAATTTCACTCACTTCCAAGACTTTTATTTTTAACCTCCTGAAATGTTTTTGACATTTGATATTTCGAAGTGGTCAAGATGCAGCATGTCGTTGGTGATTATACACTTTTTGGAAGTATTAAAATGCATATTGAGGTGTTTGCATTTTTAAAGTTATTTTTCACATGAGTCCCGTATTACCAGTTTTATATGCGTGTTCTGTTCTAAACAAGTATATTCACAATAAGAAATTAGAAATGCTAAAGTTCAATGGCACGTTCACTGTTAAAAAAGATAAAACGTTGGGAGACCGGTGCTGTAGATTTTTACAGTATGGCAAGCCTCGTCCATTAACTGGCTCCTACCTCCTCTTTGTGAGCGACGTTGACGCGTGTCTTGATGTACGGGAACGCATGCGACGCTGTCAGGATGGTTTTGCGCTTGTACTGCTCATGCAGGTCTCCGTGGGCACGGCCGTCCAGTGTAAAGGGCGTGCAGTACATGAAAGTGCGCAGGTTGTAGTTCTTGTCAAAGTAAGTGATTCTTTCCTTCAGCTCGTAGGTGTCGAAGAAAGGCTCGACGTAGGTGATCTGGAGATAGGCCTGAACAGGAAGACAGTGACTGGTCGCATGTTTGACGACACAAGTTCAACACATTAAGTGGAAAATGTTCCCTATTTTATAGCTAAATGGCCATAAAATTGCGTACATTACACCTATACTCCCACATTGCAGAATAATTCATTTAAATTTATTTTAAGACATAAATTGACCCTGGGTGCATAACGGTGTATGAATGTCTATTTGTCTACATGTGCCCTGCTGGCTGACTCTCAGTCAGTGTACATTGCTTCTTGTCCAAAAGTCAGCAAGCTCACCCGTGACCCTAGTAAGGACAAGCAGTATAGAAAATGCAACGATTGATAAACTCCAACTCATTGACCCAGCAAAAGCTTAGACACAATTTCGCATGTCAACATTTTTGACTAACTTTAAACTTTGCTAAACATTGTTATCTGTGGCAGCTTTTTCAACTACAGCAGCGTTATATTCTATAGCCTTTTAAATGGCTTGTGTGGAATTTTAGGGCACCTTGACTCACACAGAGGACAGATTTCTTTCAACTAAAATATTCTAGAAATTCAGTAATTCAATTAAAGAAAGAAGGCCAGTTCCTAACTAATTTCTCTCTACAAATGATTGTATCAATCACTTTGATTACTTCTTATGTAATGTCAGTTTAAAATCTCAGTCATCCAGGTCATGGTGTACCACAAAGGTTATATCGAGGCAATTGGACTTCAATCCAGTCAATTCAACCTGGGCGGATTTCTTATGTAATATTCACATTTTTGGAGATGGTGAATATGACATATTACTTAGGTGTAAGCAACAATCATAATTACAAAAGAAAATACAATTAAATGTATTCTGTGTGCTGAATCTATAGGATATGAGTTTCACTTTTTTAAGTGAATGACAGTACTGAGATAAATTAGATACTGTATGAAAAAAATGTGTTATAGCCCCACACCTTTTTCCTCCAGACAACCACACGTGATCCAGGTTCCATCACAAGTGGGGTACCTTTTTTCAATTTAGGTCAAATTAATTTTTTTTCTCACTGTACTTGTGTATGAAAAAAAAGATGCAATGGTTAAACTAATGTGTGTTATAATTATGAGTATTTAAGAGTGGAATGCTTTTCTCTCAAAGTTCCTTTTTTGTTTTGAAAATCTGTACTCCTGGGCTAGCCCATGATTCGCAGCCCATGTTACCTTGTTGGCATCCAGTTTGTTTTTGTCCACTGGGTTGGAGTCTTTGATTATTTCAACCACTTCGTCCCCATACCTCTCTGAGTAGAACTCCTGCGCGCCAAAGAGATTAATCGTGAGCATCTGTGCATTAATTTGATTGGCTTCATGAATGATCGATGGACGTGCCTCAAGTCTATGGGAGATCTCAGCCAGCTTCGTAATTGAGGGCTCTTTGTAGACAAATTCCTGCTCATCCAGGTCCCCAAATCGAGAGCCATAGAAACCCACCCGGAAGTAGGTGCCAAACATTCGCTGAACACTGGTGGCGTTGGGAGGACAATGAGTCACATTTATTTGGAGATATACAATATATATTATGTACCTATATTTTGAAAAAAAAAAAAACAAACAAAAAAAAACAATAAACGTGAACGGATCTTATGTCACTCACCCATCAATCATGCAGTTGGTGGAACGGGATCAAGCAATGACAAAGACAGAATATTGTGAATAGAAAATAAATGAAGAGATGACTTATTTTGACACAAAAAGGACTCATATTCCTGTTAGATTATTTAGACATATTCTGTATACCGTGACGTTTAAAATTAAGCCATTACCTCCCATCCTGAACTCTGCAAGAGATCGAAAGAAAAGAAAAAAGAGAGATCACATCAGAGGAAGGGGATTTTTTTTTTTTTTAAGTGATGCAACAGCTTACTTGGTTGTAGACTTTGTTGAAGGCATCCTGCAGCTTCCCGTGTACCGTAGCCAGCTTTTTGAAGTCTCGATTGGCTTCATGGATGGGCAGAAGGATCTTGTACACTTCATTTATGGCCTCGTACATGGCGGCCTGGATTTATGCAAAAAAGGAAGTTCACGGTTGGACACATGCTGCCCTTTGGCCGTATTAATGCGGCCATATGTTGTGTTAACACACAGCCTGGCCGACCAGCCTGTCCTTGGAGAATGCTGATCGCACCATGTTAAAAGAGGCAGCTGCTTGCTCCAGGAGGCCCACCAGGCCGGATTCACTGAAGTATTTTCCAGCACAAATACCCTCCTCCTCTGGTGATAGGACATCATCTGATACGGCTGACTCCTCCAGCACGTTAGAGGAAATATTCTGTGCGTGGTGTGGAGCGGGAGACATGAAATTAGAATGAGCTTTGCTCCTGGGAAGCACAATTATCTCACTTTCTCAGCACTGACTTGAAAGGTGACACAGCCAATAGGCAGGTAACGGCAATCCTCCAACATGTTGAGGTATTCCGCCACCAACGCAGCGCTGTGTACAAGACAGTGGGCCGCCTCTGCGTGGTTTCCCCTCTCAGAGTGCTTGCCCGCCATGTTCTGAAGCCACGTGAGGCGGAGGTCTGGGGAGTTTTGGTAGCCCTTTGCAATCCTGGTGCGATCAATAGTCCAATTAACACCAGAAAAAAAAGTTTTGAGTTGAATGTAGAGTATATCACATTACCTGTACATTAGGTCAATGAGCATTTCAGGATCCTGCTGATGCTCCTTCATCTTCACAGTGTCTGTGAGTATCATGTGCAGGTTGAACACTAGATCCTGAACCTGCAAAAAACGAGCACAATCACTGAGGTTTTCTCTACATCAGGGGATGTCACCAAGTAGCACTTTCTATACGCACCTGCTCTGGGAAGGGGGTGTCACGCAGCTCCACATCCTCCTCGGCGTATGTCAGGATGGTCTTGAGAGACCGGCGGAGATGTTCCTCATTAAAGGTCTGTGAGGTTCCCACCAACGAGGACAGAGACATTGTGACCTGCATCTTTACTCGGGCAAAATTCTGCTCCAAAGACAGAAAAGACACATGCTGCGATTCCAATTTCACAAACATATTCTCAACATAAATGTTTGGTTCATCAGCTCTGTGCGGGATTAGAATCGGCAGCATTTATACTTACATTTCCGATCTCAAAGTTTTGCCTCATGAGCAGGTAAAGCGAGGCTGAGGCGTGACTTCTGACAGAGGCGATGCTACTGCTGCAGTGGCGCAGCAGACGAAGGCACAGGTCGGCACAAAGCTCAGTGTCCTCTTCAAACAGCATCTCTGGGAACTTAACACAAACCAGTACTCCTTCTGCTATGATGTATTATCTTTTCTATTCTTTGTTGCCGGAGATGCAGCTAAAATGAAATATTTGCTTTTATTAACAACAAAGGTACCTTAAAGACAAGAGCTCTCTGTGTCGTGAAGCAGTGCTGCAGGAAGAGGGCGCTCTGGTTGCCTGCCATGCTGTGGAGAAGAACTCTGAGCACGCCGCCTAGCACGCTTTCCTTCAGCTCCGATGCCACCACAGTCTGTAAAAGGAAATAAAAGACATGAACACAATCATATAATGTTGAATTAAAAGATAATATAAGGCCAGTTTACCTTGACTACTATCTCCAGTGTATCCAATACTACCAGAGACGCCTCCGTAGAAAGGTTTCCATCTACTACAGACTCCTGCTCCACTTCAGCCTTAGTCCTGGTTTGAGGTAAACAAATGATTAGTCCTAGGAAAATGTATTCTGTGAACCGCTATTCGCATGGGATAGGAACAGAAACCTACTGTGAATAGCGAAAAGCTGCAAATATTTGTCATTTGTAATTGCAGAAACGGTCTATGAGTAGCTTCTCTGAGAGTGAAGCAAAAACAAACTTTCATTTTCATTTTGACTGCGTGCCAACAAAACAGGACATCTCAAATGTAGATTAAAAAAAACACCAATCTATTAAACCTAACAAACCAACCAAGATGACACCACAATCATCCTTTTATTGATTTGCCCTGAGCTCAAAAGCAAGGGAGGATTGGTTTCCCTCAAGAAAATTTACAAATATACGAATGCCAAACCACATCTATGCGGATGCTTGTGATTTGCCATTAACGTATGTAAAGAACAAACGTACTTGTCGATCCTGTCTATGTTTTGTCTCCAGTGAGTGACGTTCTTTCTCCACCTCACATTCTCCTGGCTGCCATAGGGACTCCTCTCTTGATGTGTAAACACATTGCAATTTCCATGAACGCACTTCATAAACATGCCTGACAATTATGCACACTCTGCTGCACATGCACGCTTATCTTATTACCTCGGCAACGGCGCACCATCTCCTGACGAGCGCCAATGGTACCGAGAATGGCCTCCTCCAGACGGGCCTTCATGTCCTGAGACTTCTTAAACGTCAAGCTGTTGATCCTCTCCAGAGCCTTCTTACCCTGCACACAAAGGTCATTGGAGAAATTAAGACATGTGGATGTCATGATGTGGTTGCTTCAGCCATTGAGGTCTGCTTTTTACAACCTTGTATTCAAAGCAGGATATGCAGAGATGCAGCAGATCCAACAGGCGGTTGATTTGCTGCACTGATAGATCTGACACCCAGCGCTCCAGGAGAGAGGAATCGGCGTTCTTCAGCACCCAAAGGAAGCACACCAGCAGAGTTCGGCTGCACTCGGCTGACAGAGAGCTGCCCTGGCGCCCAGCCTGGTGAGGACACGCAGGGTAGTAACCAAATTAGAGTAAAGACGTCAATAAAGCAGCACATGAAAAGAACAAATTTGCAATTTGTGGCTTTACAAGAGATGTCTGTAGTGTAGCCTCACCACTGTGGGAATTGCAAATGGGTTAACCTTGGCATGCGGCAACGGGGAGCCGGCAATCGCCATGGCAACAGACTGACTGATAGTGCTGCTACCGTCTAGGTCAGCGTTGTCGGCGTGGGCGTGGCGGACTCGAGACGGCGCGGAGTCTGCAAAGAAATGAGAGATGCTCTCACAGGTGCCGTAGTGCTGATAATAAAGCTCGTGAATCATGGGGGGGGTGGGCATTTTCAACAGATCGGCAGAAAGGGATTGCTGACCTGAAAAGTCATGCAGCTGATACAGGGCCTCCGTGACGATGGGGAGGAGGGGCAAGTACAGCTGAGCGACGTGGGCTCGGACTTGAGGGTCGCTGTAGCGCGGATCAGAATCGTGGCTGCACAGCAGGGAGTGAACTGCGCTGATAGCTTTTTTATGAAGGAAAAAAACTCTGCGGGGACAAAAACAACGTACATAAGATTCAAATTAAACATAAATAATAATTGCTCTTGTTGAGGGAGAAAATCACAGGCTACCCTTCTCCTTCGGGATCAAGTATGAGTGCCAGCTCGGTGAGGAGCAGGCCAGATAGGAAGTGCTGTTGCCGAAATGGGACAGAGAGCTCAAACATCGTCGCCACGCCTTGGTCTTGTGCCACACTGGAAAATGCTGAACTCTACGCGTAGAAGACCAAGGCAAGAAGGAGAGAAGAGCAAATGCGACAGATTATCATTCAACACACTTCTTACTTAACACACTTGGCACAGACGTTTAGAGCTCGAAAACAAGAGCTGTTATACACCATTGTATTTATTATAGGCAAGAATAATCACACATCTGCCTCACAATTCTGAGGTTGGGGGTTTGAATGAAGACTACGGTCTTTCTTGTGTGGAGTTCCCAATTCTCCCCCGGCCAAATCACGCATGTTAGGTTAATTGAAGATTAATTGTGTGAATGCAAGTATCATGTTTGTATATATGTCCAGGCCAGGATGTACCCCTCCTCATGCCCAAGTAAGGTGGGGTAGAGCCCAGCTCACCTACTACTAGGGATGGCTTTAAAAGAAATGGATGGGTGGATGGATATTTATTATAGTGGTTTTTAATTATAATTCTACATGGCGCTATATCCAACATACTCAGAGGTATTTCCTAACATGTTGCCCCGTTATGCTGAAATATTAAGAGAAAAGGTCAGAACGGTGGTAATTTAGTTGCATATTACAGAGAATGTGTCTCCTAACGTTGCCATTGGTCAAGGCAGGTTTTTGTTGATTTTATTTTTTTAATTTGAATACCTGTGAGGTGGTGGAGGACGTGGAAGGGGAAGGCGATGCTGGAGGGCTGAGAGTAGAGCAGGGCAGGTTGAGGACGACATAGTGCTCATGACTGCAAACAATCCGTATGAAGTCCATCCGCAGAGCGTTCAGAGAGCTTGGGTTCGGAGTCATGTGGAACTTGTTGCCAATCTGAGACACAAGGTTGTTTCAAAAGCACGAAGACTAAAGGCATCTGTATTGAAATCCAAAGAAGAAGCGCAATGAACGGAGTTACCTGTTTGTAGTAGGAGCGGACAAGGTTGAACACGAAGCCTCTGTCCATGAGAGACAGCAGATCATTGAGGAAGAAGGCCAGACTGCTATTTAACCTCTCCACCAGCTCCACATCCTAAGTGTATAAAAAGAGGGGCGACAGATCATGAACAAAAAGATAACAAAAGACTTATCTAAGTTCATTTGTCTAGATTCCCTCTGTTCCTTCTACCTTGTGGTATCTACTGGCAATGTCTGCACTGATGGCACAAACAAGCGCAGCAATGTCGTCCACAAAGCGGTCCGGAAAGCGCTGACGTCGAGCAACGTCTAATTTTGAGGTGAGGAACAAGTGTTGTGCCATGCTTTTGACCTGCAAACAACAAACGGCCCTTGTGATAATGTCACCTTCCCTCTGCGGGAAGAACACCATCCCAAACGTTTGCCGACCATGAGCTGGAAGAAGAACCAGGCCTGTTGCAGCGCCGCTTCCCGCACATTGCTAGTGCTGACCACCCACTGCAGAGCCAGCTCTTCGTGGAGCAGCTAGACAAGGTCCGAAACACAGCAAGTTTTAGATAACAGAAGGTGGAACTTGATGAGATGAAATTCATGCCAAACAAATAAATCTTAAATTAATAGGCGTGGACATGAATGACAATGAGGACTGTAAATCACACCAAGAGTTGATGAAACACAAAGACTTGATGAATTAGTTTGGGAGACGTGTTTTACCTTTTTTGTAATCTGCCTCGCGGGGACTGAATATGAGGCCACGCTGTCCAAAAAGGCAGACATGCGATTGTTGCTGCGGTCGTTTGTCTAACTCGGCGTGATGGTGAGGTGAACAAACATACACACACACACACATGCACACATATATATGTATACACACATACACATACAGATGAGGACAACGTGCGTGTGACAAGTGGAACTACACGTGTGCCATGCAAGAACTCAATAAGCGGTGCAGTAAGCGACAGAAATGATGAGAAAGGCAGGTGGGATGCAGCATGCAGAATTAGAAGCAACCTGTGGAGCACAGAGATAGGAAAGGACTGCTGAGCGATAATCCACCTGATTAAGGGCTGCACGAAATATTAAAATAAGTCGTTTGTTTTGTCAAGCTGTATAACCGAGAGAGTGAGCACCTCTAAATCCTCTTCTTAGATACGCCAACAAATGGCTAAAGGGGAGGACATTGGGGAACGTTAATGCTGGATGTGAAGACGCCGTACATCATAGGTCATGTGGTTCCACACTATAAAGCATGATTTTTTTAAATCCCAGAGTCGTGCAGCTCTAAACCGCGATGGAAGCGGGTGGGGAGGCTGAGAGGGCTTCTGCACCTGCTTGAGCTCACAGCTGGAGTTGGGGTTCCGGCGTAGCACAGATCTGGAGCCCCCGGGGGCACAAGCAGAGTTTACCCAGGAGTGGGAGCGATCAATGCCCTGACGAGAATACACACGCGCAGACACACGCGGATAGTGTGGCAGGAGGCACGGGCACAGTGAATAATTGTTTGGTAATTGCCAAAATAGCAAAAATTGGGGGAAAGGTACGTAGCAAACGAAAGTAAGGAAGGGGTAAACAAAGACTGGAGCTATACAAAAGCAGAGAAGCACAAAGCGTAATTGACATTAAATGACATAATTCAAGATAATTGCTAATTGACTCTGCTGGAAAGAACTGAGGCAAAACAGAACAGTAATTGCAGCATCACAGACTAATAATTCCACTAAACAGGCACTGAAAACATGGCACAAACATAAAATGTATTTTTCTTTCCTTTTAAATATATAAACAAATATTTTGTGACAACCAAGAAGTGGGTCATAGACAAAACAAACTATGGGACATAAAATAAAAATGACAATCAACATCTGGAAAACAAATCTTAAAATGAACCTCAAGAACGACTGACTAAAGCAAAGTGAGGTACCTTGCTGCCGATGATCCTTTGCACTTCTTCATCAGGAGAAACCGGAGTGCTGGCCAAGTCGGGGTCAGAGTTGCTGATACTTTTAGAGCGAGCCAAGTTCAGGCTGGTCGGACGGCCCGTCGCTCTGGAGAAGGTGGCGTACTGTAACGGCATCTCATAGGGGAGCGTGCCAGCTGCTCGTGGAAAGGGCGGGAAAAGACGTGTCACTGGGCTGATGAGAATGAGCAGGAAGCTCTATCCACTGATATGACGCTATTTTTTTTCCCCCCCTTGGATTTAACAGCTTACTTGGCGGCGGCATTGCCGGCTCAGCAGTTGGCAGTCGGAAGCAGTAATGGATGTAGGACGCCAGCAGGTTGTTGCGCCCATGCTGGTCCTGGTTGCCCTCCAGATTTTTGTGGATCTGGTTGACCAAAAGAGCCATGGCTTCGAAGGCAGCACGGCCAAGATTTACTGCGGACGAGCCAAGAGCAATATTTGACGTGGCGGGGAGATAAATTGCAACCATGACTCGCGAGGAAACAGAAATCATCGACTTCTGTGTAACCGGAGTTCAGTGTTAACACATGCTCACCAATTTGACCAGCGATGACCGGAGGGTAAACGATGAGCTGAATGAGTTTGTTGAGCAGCTGGTGTAGGAACCTGACGCAGGTCTCCAGCAGTGCCCCCTTCAGCGCGGCCATGCTGGCCTTCAGCTCGCCTTCCATGTTGGCCTCGGTAATGATCACGTCTTTCAGGCGGAAAGGGAAGGAGTACTCTTCCAGCACGTACACTAAAGTAAAGAACTTGTCCAGGTAGGGGTCCTGGGAGGGGATATTACTCTTTAGATATTTTTAGAGGACACGCATTTCAATCTTACAGATCTCAATTAAACTCATATTTATTATACAATAATAATCATAATCGTTTAAGTGCTGACATTCAGTCGAGGCCATTTTTATGTTTAAAAAGTCTTTGGAACGCCACATTAAAAGGAAATAATATTATGCAATGATGAGACAAAATACAGACACGTGGCAAGAAATTGCTTCAAAAATATCATTAGCTTTTATTCTGTAAAAAACAAAACAAACAAACAAAAAAAAAACCCTGTACCAAATGCAAAACTGCTATTTACTTGACTTAACATCTGCAAATTTGTGTGTGTCCTTTCTTGGGATGGGCATGACTTAAAACTATTTTGTGGTATACCATGTTGAACTAGTGGTTAGCACGCCCGTCCTACAGTTGAGGTTAGTCAACTTATAAGGGTTCAAATTTCAGCTTGAGCCTTCGTATGTGGAGTTTGCATGTCCTCCCCGCGCTTGTGGGAGTTCCCTCCACATAGTCCAGCTTGTAGTGCCACAGAAAATGAATAGTTGATGCAAATCAAGCAAAGTTGTTAGGATGAACATTTGGGGGCTAAATGATGGACTTTTTTTCCTAACAGGTCCTCTTAGGTTTTACTTGTTTTTTAGAAATGAATGGCAGCCTGGATCAAATCCTCTTGTGGGCTATTTTTAGGGGCTAAATTCTCCACTGGGGAGAGCAACAGCACTCAACAACAGTGCTTTCATCCACTAGTGCATGAGAATCCATAATAGGCTCCAGATATATCATGGACCAAATCATGATTAAGTTAAAAAGTTTAACGCCTGATGTGCAATATACAAAGCTATTACTGAGAATATCTTGGTGATTTATAGATGCCTTATGTGTACTAGATGTGGCAAGTTCAATTTCTATTCAAACTAATCATTTAACATTTCACGTAGGAGGCAACGGGCAGAGGAACAAAACACTGAGGATTACGATTTTGAACGCAAATCCTCCCTTTTGATCCATTTTGAATAAACAAATGGAAATTGTGACACCCACGCTCATTTACTGGCAATAAGCAGTTGTCATAACTTCAAGGCTTCAAAGAGGAGTCACACTCAATTCTGCAGCCAACTTCCCACTAAAGTGCGGACTAGAAACCCCATGCACGTTTCATGATCACAGGGCAAGTAAAAACAGAACCAGAAGAGTAAAATAGGCAAGACTGGGGGCACATTGTCATAGATGTTGACTTACCTGTGTGTGCACTGAGGACGTCGCTGTCACCTCCACGTTGAACACGCCTTTGTGATTATCCACCCACTTCATGCCTGGCAGCTGAACCTGTTTGGGTTACATGCGGCCCATTTGTCTCAGTCAACGTGCACGCTGAGCTTTTGCGGTGATATTTGTTATTCTAGTGAAACCCACTCACGTCGGGGGTGAGCACCGAGTAGCTGGGCGGGGGCTTCTCTACAGAGACGGGCAAACTGAAGGAGCCCGTGCGTAGTCGGCCATGCTGCATTAGAGGGATCCACTGTGGGTGGAGAGAGAAGGAGATCCATGTCTTCCTGGCGGCTAGGCTACAGAGGGAGCTATCAAACAGTACGCTGAGTGTGGGTTGAGGTTTCTCACAGTGTAGCCCACGGGGGTCTCCAGAGGAGTGTTCTGTTTGGTTTGGCAGCTGATGTGGTAGAAGGTAAAGAGAAGATGGTGGTTGTCTGTGAGGTTGGCGGGAATTTTCAGCTTCATCTCCTCGTAGAACTCAGGAGACCTGAGAGAGGAGGTGCAAGAGTTAAATACTCCGCTTAGCCAGGAAACTCTGAAGGGAATTCAGCAGCCTGCAAGGAGTGAAGTTCAAGAAAACAGAAAGCAAGGGAATCATACTTGTTGTGGTAGATGATGGGGGTGAATGCCTCTTTCGTGAACTCTGCACAACTGGACTTCCCAAAGATGACCTGCACAAAAACACAACAACAGTGGAATACAATCAATAGACGGCACACATGAGGCAACGTCATTAGCCACCCAGCTTAACAACAACACAGGCTGTAATTTAACTCACTGTCACAAAAGATTAAATGTGTTTATTCTGTTCTTTGGCACGGCAATTACGTTTTCCCATGTCGCAGAGAAAGGCGGTGACTCACCGGCAAAGCTTGGCTGGGGTCCTCTGCCGCCATGAACTGAACTTTCACGGCGATATTTCTCACCGAGCCCTGGCGGCTGCCGAAGTTCACACTCTGCGGGTAAACGTAAAGCAGGTTCCTGGCAGGCAGAGAGCAAAGATTGAATTGATATGAATTAAAATATTGCACAAAGAAGTTCAAAAACATTGATTGAATGCAAATAATTGTATTCAGCAGAACACCCCGCAGAAGCGTGACCTAGAACTGACTGGGCTTGGTGAACGTGACCCTAAGCTAGGCCCCTTTTAAACATTAGAGGTAACTTTGGGGCATGCCAAAAAAGTGTTTACCCACCCACCACTCACACATTCATTCCACACCACTCACACATTCATTCCACATTCGAGATGCAAAACCTCTTCTTGTTGAGAGTCAAAAGTAGTTCAGTTAGTAAAAACGAAAACACTGTCACAACTGTTTGCGACCCGTCTCTAGTATGTCAGAGGTTGCATTCTCTGGAAGGTCACTAAGACCAAGATCAAGACCTGGGATCGAACCACAACTGAGCTAATGATTTACCAATTCTTGCATGTGCACACCAAATATAAGGGGCGTCAGCTGCACTCATGCTTCACTTTCCAGGCGGTATCCCAGTGACAGATGTCAACAAATGCTGAATTGTTTATAGCGCTGCTTGTCTTACTTTGAAATCAGGACATTGTGCCATTGCGGCTGGATTGTAGCCAGGAGAAAAGTCATCGCCTTTCAACCGACAAAGTGAAAGAGAAGACAAAGAATCTGCAAGTGACTGCTATCAAACGGGATGATCTGGAGGCTGTGCTTGCTATATTTGGCCGGGGGGCTCGGAGCCGTTCGCGCGGGCCCCGTCAAATGGTCGGGCAAGACTGCGGACAGAGTCGCTCGCCGCGAGGACGTCAACGTGCTCATGTACGGCGTCATTCAGTTGGGCGAGTCCATCAACAATGTGTACAAAAGCACTGAGGGGAAGGTGGCTAACATCCTGCTGACTTTGAACGAGCACGAGCGTGCTCTCGAGCAGCTCAGGGAGCAGACGGCGCAGGCCGGCGAAGTGGAGATACAGATTAAGAGAGTGATAGAGCTGCTGCAGGTAAGGAGAAATATGATTGTGCACATGCCGTTACAGTAAATGCTTGTTATCACCTGTGATAAGGCACAGCAGCATGTCGCTCCAGATAAAAACAGATCATGGACATGTATATCGGACAAACTGGGCAGACATAACAAAGTCGCTTTGACATCTTCTTGAAGTTGTGTTTTGGCAACTCACCTGCCACGTCATTAAATGGTCGGTCGTTCAATTTAATGAGATCAAATACAAATGCGATATTTGAAATTCTGCCTTTTACATGGATATTTTTGATCAGTCCTGATTCACACTGTTTGCGGTGGTGTAGAGCTGCAGCACACCATATGAGGAGATAATTCTAATAATTCCGATAAATTACCGGTACTTTGCTACTGTGATTGGCTGACAAGGTGTGACAACCATGCGACTCTGAGCATAGAAAATGCCGTGACATTATTCAGCGACATGAACGGGGATAAACCTGAGAAACATTATTAACTATAATCATAACTATTACATTGTGGGGCGGCTTGGACGATGCTTGGCCATTGAAGATAATACGCGCGGATGCTCTTTTGGTAGGACCAGACATTCAAGCAAGAGAGTCAGACCAAGATGACTGAGGGTCAGCTTGCTGACATCGAGCGGGAAGAGGCGGTGCTTTGGACAAAGGTGAAAAGCTTAGAGGCCCACCTGAACAGCACAACGCCCACAATCATCAAAGAGCTGCTGGTAAACTGAATTTTTCTTGTCACACTTGCCAGACAGCCTTTTTTTTTTTTTTTAAGTGGGGCGGGACTCACTGTGAGGCTTATCTTTGTTGGCTTCATTGATTTTAGGAGCGAGCTACCTTTAATGCCAGTATCTTGAAAGGTCTGCAGCATTTGACCCATTTTCAAAAGCAGCTGATTGACAACCACGCCGAGCAGCTCTGGAAACTGCAAAGGATGGTGAGTCACGACACAAGGATGACGCTGCATTGAATTTGTCAGTAGTCTTCGGTTGGGTTCATTTGGTTTTGTTTCTCATTTTCCAGAGTGAAGCGCTATGAAATTTCAAAGGAGGATCGACATCACCAGCACTGAACACCCACAGCACTCCCTTTCACCAGTTCAACACACTAGCAATGTTGTTTGTTTCACTAAAATATGAATTTTGCTTGCTCTACTGTGACAATTATTAAAAACTTTACACTTTAAATATTTGTATTTTCTTTGTAACAAAAAAAAGAATTTATTAAAAACGTCTTAAATTGAGAATCTCCCTCCCACACACAACCCCACCCCCCCACCATTAACTACTGTACTTCAACAAAGTGATTGACAAGTTAAACAGAAAGGGGAATGTGGCATGGTTTCTTTGTGAATGCTCACCTATAGGAGGTATTCGGTGTATATACATAGCGAGCAGGAAATTCCAGCACTTCTTTGGTGGGACGAACCCGCAGGTCCGGGTAGGGCTTTACGTGGAGCAGTTCGGGTGACAGGCAGTAATGTGGGGAGTCTGGCGCCGGTGAGATGTCGATTTTCAACTGAGCTGTGTGCGATAAGAAAAAAAAGACACGGTGAAATGAGACCTTGTTCACTGAAGAAATTCAGGCAATAATTGCATGAAAGCTACTTTTAAGTTCACCTGTCACAGGCCTTAGTCGCCGCAGGACAGAGGACGGTCTCCGCATGTCTGCCAGAAACTTGTATAAATCTTCGTCACTTAGTCTGTCCCCTTCCTTCATAAAGCATCACAATTGGGACAATTGGAGCAATGACATTCATAACCTCAAAATGTCTGAACTGCCTTAAACTATGGGTCCTCTGTAAAAGGTCCAGCATGACAGTTACAACGCAGTGTGTATTGAATAATCTAATCAATGAACCTGCTTGAAGAAGTTGGTGACGGTCAGTGTTGCTGGACGGAATGTGGCAAAGTTACACATGTCGTCGCCGACGCTCATCCGCTCAAATCCCCTCTTCTTCTTCTCGTTCCACGTGCCGTGGCCTTTGCGCTCTGACATGAGGGAGAGAAGCCAGATGATGCAAGAAAGCGCATGTTTGGATGTTTGAGCCCATCACGTAATGACTGGTGCAGTACCAGAGTCGGAGTCGGGGTCCGAGCGGTCCAGGCTTCCCACGCTACTGACGATGTTGATAAGGTGAATGGCCGTCCACGCGAAAGGCATGCGGAAGCAGCCAAGACGATTGCAAGACTGCTCTGCCTGCAGACGCAGTTTCTCCAGCTTCTCCTTATGCTGTACAGCCGACAAAAGGAGTCATTACGTAACGGAAAATTGAAAGAGAGCCAAAAAAAGGCCACAGTACTTACGAAAGCCAATCAGTTAGTAAATATTGCATCCAGACAGACAGAATTGTGCAATTGGACAGTAAAAGCGTCCCACGTGCATGCTGGCTACAGGCCATAAACTCCGTGACACATACATTACCTTAGAAGAGTCGGATTCCTTCATGACCATGTACGGTTCACAGCACTCTCCGATGTCTCCTTGCTGAAGCACTTTTTCCAGCTGCAAGAGCGGAATCATTCATATTCAGCACTCACAATGTCATTGGAGGAGACTCGTCAAACGCCGCATAAAAGAGCTGATGAGCTCATTCATGAGTCAATGAAAACTGTCAGCATCAATTCACATTCTCTGCGTAATTGATACCCCCCGCCCCCTTTACCTTAATGACCAAGAAGATATCGGCGGACGGGTATGTGATGGAAAAAATGGCCGAGCGTGCCAGTGTGGAAATGGCGATGTGAGGCGTGTGGGGCTTGAGCAGGCTTTTCATCTGGTCAGAGTTCAGGTCGAAGTAAAAATTTTCTGAAATCTGTCATGAAAAGAGGGGATCGAGAGATAGGGGAATGGTTGTGGGGGTAGAGATGGGAAAACGGGAATGAAAATGCACATTGAGGAGATGTAATTGAGTTCTGACTTGAACCACAAGGTCACTTAGAGCATTTTAAGGCAGGGCCAAATTCAATAAGGCGAGCATGAGCTCAGTGTTTCATCGAAATAATGCAATTGCCCTGATAAAATACGATTATACCTTTTTTTTCTCCTTGACATCATACAGGGCGAGCGATCCAAATATTGGTTCGATTTCAATCTCAAATCTGAAAACATAAATATGAAAGTTAGGCGAATAAATGGCAACGCTGAAGTTGCCAGATTGCAAATGTCACTCACTTGAGAGAGAGACACTTGACCATGATTCTCTGGCCGCAGTGTTCTTTGGGCACTTCGGGGACAGAGCATCGCTCCACCGCTTCGTCCTGAGAAAAAACAAAATTTTTGTCATTATTTATTTTGAAGCCTTAAATTATGTACTTGTCCATTTTTAACCATTCAAATTTGGTAGGTTTGTTAACAATTCTCTCCTCTGTGGCGTGATAAATTTTGAAGACATTTAGGACTTAAATCTTTCCATGATATCCTAATTTGCACTTCCCACCAATAGATTTGATTTTGGTTTGACTGCCGCACCCCATGAAAAGATTAGGTGAAAATTAACTGGTTAAACAGTGACACGGGACAGTTTGCCCTTCCATTGCGCTAACACAACTACCTTGAGTCTGACTGCTTCCAAAATCAATACGGTTCTTGCTCTGGCACATACCATAACCAAATTTGAAGACCACCGGCTGAGAATTGGTGCCATTTATTTGTTTCCAATTAGCTTATGTCTTGGCAAAATCATAAGGGTTCTTGTTTTGTTCCTCAAGATCAGTGACCCAAAAGTCAGCAATGACACATACCTCGTCAGGGGGCGGGTACAGACCCATCAGGTCACTATGGCGTCCCTGGAGGCGAGCCTCTGTATTGTGGCAGTCCATATCTTCAGGCCCTGTGCGCTCTAGCACGGATGGCAGGAGCATGTCAGGGGCCGAGTTCTTTAGGTCAAAGATACTGGACGCCCAGCTTCCCCGTGGTGTCTCATCGATGGAGGTGGACCGCCGCTTTGCATCATCCTGATGTAAGAGACGAGTGGGGGTGAGAGGTGACATCATGTGTTTCTGCTCAAGAATTCGCTGCAGATGTTGAAAAATGAGGTGCACAATGTGCTTGGACTCTGTTTCACTTCCTTTATCCATGCAGACTTACGTCAGATCGTGTGACCAGGATATAGTATTAAACATGGGAAATATGTAATATAGTTTGGCAGTTAGAAACTAAAAACATGGTGCATAATATGTCTGCTTTAAATTAACATTTCAAAACAGAGAATGCTTATATCTGTGAAGTTTTGGATACAGCCCTTGCATTGGATCTCATTAGATTGTGCAAGTGTGCCTCATTTAAGCGACATGTGCACTGCCTCTGCGTGTACTAAAGGGTGACCATCAGCAACCTGGTCGTCTTGGCGTTCGTCGGTGGCCTCATCCAGTTCAAAGTTCTGTTTGAGCAGGCCTCGCTGCCGCTCCCGCTGTCGCTCGGAGCTGTGCGGCCTGTGTATGGTGCTATGGCACTGATATCTAAAAGGGCGAGCAGACCCGAAGATTACCCCGGTGACAACTGAACAGCGGTGGAAAAAAAAGCATTTTGAAACACAGCATTCAACTGGTTCCCGTGCAGTTGGCAGTTACTTTCTCTGAATGACAAGCCAGTCATCTGTGTAGACAGCCAAGGCATCTCTCACTCTGGGATCCAGTGCGCTGAGTAAGGAAAACACATGAATAATTCAGCAGAGTGTTCCTTCAATGTCTCAGACAGAAATGCTTTGTTCCAATATCTACGTCACATTTGTCCCCCACTAAGTACAGTAAAAATAGCCCCCTAAAGTGCAAAGCGTTACAGCGTGAAGGACTATGCGCTTACTATTCCTCCTCAGGCAGCGGAGGCTCCAGCGTGGTACACTCTTTGTCCATGTGGTGGAGCTCCAGGTCGTCCTGGGGGAACTCCATGAGCTGCCTAAGGGAATCGGGCTCCACCCCAGGAGCATGACTACTAACATATTCCTCAAAATCCACTGGCTCCACTACCTCTGTGAGGGGTAGCTGTTGAGGAGAAGAGATGAGAGCTCTAAAAATCACATGAGCAGGTAATGTTCAAGATATTCTGGGTTATCTGATTATCCCTTTGTAGATCGTGATGACTACACCGTGTCTATTCCGCACACCATGTCTAGTGTGTTCACCCATGAGTGTCCAGCTTCATTTAAAACATTTGTGCCCCTTCCATCACAGAATTTACGTTCTGTAAACACAGCATCTTATGTAAGAACCCCCATTCAGTGTTATCCTGACGTTCATCCGTCCATGCAAAAAGCTTATCAAACGACAAGGCTCGTGCAGGCATATCCTCCGTTGGGGGGGGGGGGGGTAACTCTACAAACGGTCATAACACATTTTTAACGGTCTTTCTCTTTGAAGTAGTTTCACAAAGCATCATCTACGGACTCGCTAATTGCAGCTTTCAAGACGAAGGTAAACAAAGTTAAATACGGGGTGACTCACGGGATGGTACAGGGCTCCTCTCTTTTTGGACATTAGGGGAGAGCCGTACTCTCGGGACATTTGCTTCCGAACCTCTGCAGCGACGGTCCTGAGAAAGGAGAAATGGAAGGGATAAAACTCAACATAATCCAACCGCAGCTGAAACAGAGTGCTCTCTGTAAATAAAAATGAAACTTCGAAAGCCAACGAACAAAACTGTGTTTTAAGGTGGAAATGGACAGTGAAGTTGATTATCTAACGTGCACTAGGAGGTCATTCCATACTTTGGGAGCGGCAACACAAATCGCTGTAGCCCATCTGAGCTCCCACTTAGGACTTCGGTACCACCAGAAGCAGCAGCTCAAAAATGTGAAAACAATTCACAGAAACCGAAAATGAACTCCGAAGTGTACAGGCACGTGCTTCCTCTTTACGCATTCCAGTTAAAAGGTAATTGTCAGAATTTTGAACTGACTGGAGACATTTGAGGACTGACTCCAAAGGTGGTGTTTGAATTGTGAGAGATGTGTTTAATTGAGGTATGGCATCTACGCGAGCAGAGGCCACCCACCGGTTTAAGCGATATGCTATTTTCCCTTGGCTCACACAAGAGCATCACTGATCATCGCTTATGGTGCAAGGCCCTGAAAATTGGGGCTACTCCTTTCAAAATCCTAATCCAAGGACCTCTCCCACTTATTTCTTCTGAAAGCTTTGATGATGTCTTTCACTGACTTCTGCCGTCAGCTTAGACGAGATGATGCTCAGCCAACAGCTGTTCTCAATGGACATTCAGGCACATCCTCACAAAAAAAGGAGGCGAGCAAGCTTACGGGCACGGAGCCAGAGCTCCGTCTTGTCTCTTTGACGGAGTAACGGCAAATAAGAGGCTTTAAGGGAGGTGGGGGGGTGGGGGGCGAACACATCACAATCCTCTCTCAATGAAACGGAAAGCAGCTGCTACTAGAAAGTAACCAAACGTCAGTTTGTGTCATGCGGACAGCTGCAATGGCAAGGCCACATGATTTCGCAGATATGGCTCATATATCAACCAATCTTTTCCGAACACTGACATTTCTTGACCTTTTATTATTTGGTGTGGAAAACTATTCATTTATTCCTTCATTTTCAATAAGGATTGTGCTAATTAGTATCCACAGTTGAGTTCAAGCTGATCCCAGCTGACTTTGGGCGACAGGCGGGGTAAAACCTGGACCGCTCCTCTGACAATTACAGGGTGCAAACAACCAGTGACATGTGCACCTACAGGTTATTTGGAGTCATCACTGAAACCAGCATGCATGTTTTGGGGAAGTAGGAGGAAGCTCACAGGAACACGCAAACTCCACAGATGTGATTCGCACACCTCCAAACAGACAAGAGGCAGATGTGATAATGGCTAGGATACTCTGTTGATGAGGCCAGTTGTCATACTGTACACAAAAACAAGAATAAAAACTCCTAAACCCATCACTCCCTCCCCCCTTAAAAAAGGGATCTGTTCCGTACAATACTAGCCTTAAAATAGGTCCAAAAAGCTTCTGCAGTTCAGTCTGAGCACCTCCATGTTAAAACAGGAAATGGGAAACACTGTCAACCACAGGGGCAATAGCCAGCACATAACTTCCCACCCTTTCCTGCATCCGGCAACAACACAATAGTCCAGCCAAGGAGAAACGGGGCTCAAGGAAACAATACACTGACTGGAACATCTCTCTGTGCTGCTATGAAGTGCTAGACAAAATGCATTAATGCGATGGGGAGCCAAAGTGATAAACACTCCTCAACAAAGAGTCGTGAGATCAATAGTGACGCTTCCTATTTTGTTGTGTGGAAAGTCTGGAAGGATAAACTGAAGCTCTAAAACAAACCCTTCAATTAAGAATGAAGATAAGGTGATTTGCAGGTAAATCCCTCAACCACATGCTGGCAGGTGGGAAACTGAAGCTGTAAATAGCTTAATACACACTACTATCGTGTTTTTATTTTGACAGCGAGTTGTTAGTTGTCATGCTTGTCTATGCATACGAGTGGAAATCACATTATGCTGTCACAATTAGCTACTAGCAAATGACGTCACACTAGCGGCTTAGCTTTAGTTGTGCAGTTAGGATGACACTCGCGCGAGACACTTGAACGCTCTACTGTATTCAGTCTTTTAATTTAACGCTACCGCCAAACATTCAATGGACTCGTGACGGTAATAAGCTAAGTGAACTAAACTATAGCCTACGAAAGCGTAGTACACGGCGGCACCACAGCCAAACAATAACTTCTCACCGGTTGATTTTGTGAGCAAACGCCCGCCTTTCGCTCGTTGTGGACGTCATGGCGTGTCCCCATGTAACAGTTACTCGTCAAAGACGAGCGGGGGAGACTCTCGTACTTTCACTCCCGTCCCGTCCGGTGTTGTGTGTTTTAGTGGTGAGGAGTGCGAAAGGGGGAAAAAAAAGAAACCGAGCGAGCGCTTCCTCTTGAGTCCACGCTGGGAACCTGGCCGGGATCCCTTGTTCCTCCTAGAGGCCCGGAGGCGAGCCAAAGTCAAGCATGCCGTGAAGAATGCGTCCACTTCCGGTATTGCTTGAAAATAAAAAACATTCACACGATAAAACGTTTTATCCTGTAATTTAGCGAATAAAGAAAACTGCTTATGTTTCTGAATCGGATTCGCTGCACAATTTGAGAAGGGACGCCAGTTGCTTCCTGATGATATTTTGCAACTAATAATGTCAAACGAATGAATGACGATGTAATCTCCGTGGATTTTAGCTGTTATTTTCTTGTACTTCCGGCCTGCTCGCGATTTAGAATGAGCCTTCTCGGCCGCGAAGTACCTGCATATCCAAGACAACTCACCTGACCGGTTTGAAGCACTTGGGAAATTCCTGTAAAATTCAAACAAATTCTGATATATAACGTACACACACACACACAGATCGCACACGCATAAACACTATCGAATACATATATAATTATACCTGTATAATTATTATATAGTGTAATTTCAAGCCTTGAGATACGTGTTTTCAAAATAAATTTCGAACAATGCCTCAAAAATCTCGCAGATGCAACCGCATAGAACCATAAAATCTTAAAAGACAAGTATACAGTATTTCTGTTTCACGTCACGCTATGTCTCCACAATAGCGACACCTATCGAGGACATCGAAGCTGGCAACGTCATCGTAGGTTGCTCAACCGAGACAATGCCTGCAGGTGGCGCTGTAGACCACAAACAGGGAGGGGGAGCGGGGGGGGGGCACAGTTGACGGGTGTCATCTTTGACCTCTTCAGGAAATTCAACGCAATTAAGTATTCTTTATTATAATTTAAAACAATAATGGTACTTTAAGAATGGCAGGGGCCGAAATTGATGCACTACATCTTTATATTTTTAAACAAAACAATTTTCTATAGTGCTCATTAGGGAGACTAGTGAGCTGGAACCTATCCCATCTGCCTTTCGGCGAGAGGCGGCGTACACCCTGGACTGGTCACCAGAGAATCACATGGCACATGTGGCACACCATCCCCACCTATGGACAATTCAGAGTCGAGATGTATGTATTTTCATGTAAATAAGGAACGACAGTGACTAATGGAAGAGCTGACGGTGGATTGTAATGGTCCCTCATCCCCAGATGAACTCATTCCATATCCACCACCACTCACAAAGAGCTGCCTATTAAGAATGAATGTAGCCACGCTGCAGCACTCCCCCCACCCCTCTCCTCATCTTCCTCCTAGCCCACTGTTCAGCACCCTGGAGAGCGTCTGCAGGTACCCGAGCTGTCCTCTGTGAAACGCCTGCATGAATGGCGTAGTAGAAGAGAACGGGGAGGCAAGAAAAAAGATCTTGAAAGAAATGGCATATTCTTAAGCTTTTTTCTCCGTGTGTTGCTTTTCGTGACGGACGGAACACGACGGGTGCAGATCAGAGGCAGGAAGCTGGCGGGACAGCACGGTGATGTTTAACACCTGACACCCTGCTGATGTCATCTAATAACAGGAAAAAAAATCCATGTGTAAAATAATTGATGCATGTTATGAACGCATTGAATAAAAATATATGAGTGTAATATTAAATATTTTTTGAATTTTTAATTCTTTATTCTGAAAATATTTCAACTTTTTTCAAAGAAAAATGATGATTTTTGCCCAGGAGTGTTATGCTCAAAAAAAGAGTGGCAATTTTGCAGAATCTGCGTAAATACAATAAAAGGTCAAAGGTAAGTCAGGTGGAGCATCAACCGCTACTCTTGGCTATGCTGCAATGTAATTGGTTTATGCCAAGCCCAAATGTTGTTCCTTGAACATATGAATGCGACTTGCCGTGTTTGTGTGACATTGCAGCGTCCTTGCCCGCCTGGGTAGTTACACGCCCCACCCCCTCCTCTGAGCCAGCCTCCTCCATTTTTCCACATTTCTGCCCGCACCTTCCTTGCCTCGCCGTTTTTCAATTCCTCAACCGGCACCATTGTTCCATTGCCCAGCCCCCACCACAACGAGAAACCCCCCCACCTCCCTGCAAACACTCCTCCACGTCCTCCTCCTCCTTCCACCACAGCCGCCGCCACTGCTGTGCAAGCGAAGAACAAAAGAGAGAGTGTCAGACAACACCCACTAGATCTCTTTCACTCCACGGCCCCCGCCTCACTTCCA